ATGCACCGTGGAAAACTGCGCTTGCCCATATGGAAGGCAAGGAGATTGTGCGCAACTAGAGATAGTATGTCAACTTCAATGTTCAACCTGTGATGAAGTTGACCTTGGTGAGACGGGCAGGATATTAAGCGTTTGATTAAAGAACATATAGCTGGAAGATGGGGTGGAAACCTGCCCACTCCACTTGGCAAGCACAGAGTAGAAGGACATGAAGCCCAATGATTTCGACATCAAGTGCACAATACTAGCTTATGAAAAAGCAATCGGTGTTAGAAAGATATCAGAGGCGTTTTATATGCGCGTGAAAATCCAGGGCTCAACGACCGAAATGAATGCATGACCATAACAAATGAATTCTTGCCTTTCATTCCTTTATGCGGATTGTGAGATCGCCACATACGACACGTAGGAAACCCACTGTCCAGGGTGTTTCATTTTATCTTGCTCCCTGGAGAGAGGAGGCTGCTGGTGGACTGTACTTGCAGGTTCTTTCGTTCACTGGGATCTCTCTTTTGTTTTGTTTTGAGTTTCGGGGAACTTAAAGATTAGGCGCTTCTTCGGGTCGACCAATAAACGGGTTCCACTCTAAAAACATGTTACGGCATACAAGAAGAATACACACAATATCGAAATGCCTAGTTCCAATAAGACCGAACATGGAATTTTGCACATGACAGAATTCAGGGGATACGCTCTTTCCAACGCACCTCGCCGAAAATCAGCGAACTATGCTGAAACAGTTCCGTGCTACTTCTTTCAAGTGCGGCGGTCGCCTTGTCGGACCCTTATGAACACGAACGCCTACTCAGACAGCGAGATATGCACTGTATATGTAGATCTGGGTTTATAAGAATTCATCTTGTCTCATTTCTGAAATTGGATACATCATGTACAGCTATTGCCGATTCATTCGTCTACGATTAGCTCGATGAGCACAGCGATTCATCTTGAATAACAATGATTCGTCTTCAGGAGTACAGCGCGTTTTCAAATCAATTATTTTGAAGGTTCGACCCAGGTAGAAGCTATGTAAAAGATTATTTTCAGTTTGTCGGAAAGAACTCCAGATAGCAACCCCACATGTGGCACCACAGTGAATGGAGATCACCCTGAAATGGCGAAAGGCCCTGCAAAATTAGTGCAGCAACTGCAATGTTATCCTTCAGCCGCAGCCCAGTACGACCCCCCCCCCAAACACTTATTGTGTACTGCACACTTGGTAATTGTGTGTGTGTTTGCGTACTACTTCGTACTACTTTTTCGAGCGTTACACCAGATTGAGCGCGGTAGCGTCGCGTTTGCATTGGCGCAGCAATCTTCTACTCGCCCAGCGCGGATAAACCAAGGCAGACCGCTGTTTTTCAAAGAGTGTAATCCTGTTTAGCCTCAATAATTTTCGAAACACCAAGTAGATTTGTAGTCCGAGAGTGCTAGTTTCAAAAAACCGCCAGGTTCACGCAGTATCTCCAGAACTCTTTTAATTATGGGGTAGAGAATTGAGAATTCACAGAGAAGCGCACTTCTTCATTTGAACGGTTGCAATTTCCTTCAAATAAGAAAGTGGAGAACTTGTAAGAAAATTTTGAAACTCCAGATTAATTTCTTTCTAAAAAGTACTTGAACTTTTGTAAAGTTTCATTTCTTCACAAGACGCCCCGTTGGACCGTTTCTTGTGCACAACCGGGTTTTTTGGCTTTCAATGACTATAACTTTCTTCAGAAAGGAGCTTTTGCAATTACTGTCCCCTGGGATAAACTGGAAGTTAGGAACTTTCTAACGATTGCTTGAACTCTTTTCAAAACCGATGGAGTCAAAAAATCGCCAGGTTGGACCGTTTTGGGGAAATCGCGGACCGGTTTTTGGCAGAGCGCTGGTTTTTTGGCTTTGAAATGTCATAACTTTCTTCGGATCAACTTTTGCAATTCTTGTCCCCCTGGAAGACTAGAAGGTTAGACCCTTCTAATGAATGATTGTACTAGTCTCCACAATGACCCTTTCGAAAAATCGTTCCGTTGTACCGTTTCTTTTTCATTAATTTTCGGAACTACCCTCCTGAAACATGAGTTTTCAACACTCAAACAGTTACAGCTCTCTTCAAACTCAAATTTTATGGGGAGTAATGATACCAAAAGATCACAAAGCTTTTGTGCTTCATAACAGATACTGAGCAATTTCTAGGAACTCGTCGTCGGGCAAATTTTTTTCTCCAAACTTTTATTGTAAGCCGTTACCAGTCAATCCAAGCGAGTGGTCATCTTTTTACTAAATAGATTCAGTTTGAATACATTAGTTCTCTTTAGAAGCATATTTGTGTACTAGTAGTCATATATGGACACTACTGCAGTGGACTCTTCTGCCCTGAGGTGCGCCATGCACTCGTTTGCAGTTAGAAGTTGAAGAAGGGCTCGGAAGTTATGCCTCTCTCCTATGTATTGCGACGATGATCCTTGTACATACGATCCCCCCTTCTCGGTCGGCCAAATACGACCTCCTCGTTGGGCTTTGTCCAACGGACGCTTGACCCTGCTTCTAATCTGTTGCGTTCCTGCGTCTCATGCTCTACTCTCCGCGCTCAGTCTCTTACTGTCTTGCATAGCCGCATTACTAACCAGGGAGGTCTTTCAGGAAATGGTGAGCTTTCTCAAAACGGTTTTTTGCTTGATATAGGAGCACATGCATGGAACACAAAACTGTAGTTCATTTTTCCTGAGCGGCCTCCTGAATACCAAAAAAGGAGCGAAGAAAAAATTCTTTAGGAACTGCCGTTCTAACTGCTTTGTTGTGATGTACATCGCGCACAGCGTTGACCAGTGTCATATCAAAAGGTTCTCATGAATTTTCCATTGAAAACAACGCAGAATTCGATCAAAAATAAAACAATAACCTGTATTGAAACTACTGCGGAACATTCATCAGTGCCGTCTGAAGCCAAGCTATCAGCGGCAGTCGGATGGCCTAGTGGTTAGTGGTGCGGTCTGTGAATCGGACGGAAAAGGGCGGTGTTGATGGTTCAACTCCTCACACTGCCAAAATTTTGCTTTTTTTCTATTGTCGTTTTCCTGTGACCGTGCACTCCTGCGCATGCATATGTTACGGATTTATGTTCGTTTTGAGATCCTACGACTGCTAAGTTCGTACTGGTCTTTCACGTAACTTGTGCGTGCAAGATGAAATTTTATAATTCTAAACAAACACTGCTCCGGAATGGTTGGAGAAGGGAATAGGAGGCTCCGCTATGATTACCACTCGAACCCAGTTCTCCTCGCATGGGCAGCTCACACTTAAGGGTTTGGTTTTTGCAGCTGATCTAGCTATAGGCAGTAGACCAGCCAGAAGTATACCAGAAGCCCAGCAGCCACTTGTTGACAAATAGGAGAACCTAATGAAATAGTCATTGGTGACTTTTCTCAATCGCCGGCTGAGAGTCACCTGTTCTATACATAAAAGGATTTCTAATTCCTGTGAAAGTATGACAAAGGAGTCGCCTCCAAATATCTAACAATGTCCTGACGGCTTAGGACTATCTATCCCATCGGTGCAAGGGTTCGAATTGCGACGAACATCTTAATTTTCCTGAAACTTTTGGGTTAGGGTTTATTCGGGTCCTGATGCGAAATATTCTATTAGTTTTAGCGCGTAAACGTCATTTGAATTCGCTTATGCCAGTGGCCTATAACGGCACCGGTTTGTGTCGCAACTTTCTCCACCAGTTTTTTTAGTCAAAATCTGCGTATGAAGGTTGCTGTTGCTCCCAGTTATAGATATGACATCTGCTATTCACTCTGACACCCTTTTTCGAAAACTTTGGAAGACGAACAGAAAATGCAAAAAATTGTCACTGTGAGGATTCGAACTACGGACCACTTCATAACCCCTTTTTTGGTAATCAGAGGGCTGCTCAGGAAAAATGAACTATAGTTTAGTGTTCCATGCATGTACGCCTATTCATGCAAAAAACCGTTTTGAGAAAGCTCACCATTTCCTGAAAGACCTTCCTCGTAAGACCCTTGGCTTAGGTGTTTCCGATGAGTTCATCTCCTTTTTTGTATGCTTCAACGATTCTGTGTTACGGTGTGAAACTCAAAAAAGTAAAGCTCGAGCAACCATGGCGCAATTTTGAAGCCGGAAAGGGAATACTATCGAATGAATGCCGTTTTTTCATTTCGATATTTTTTTGATATAACTTCGTTACAGACAGCAAGACAGATATGCCGATATTGTTTGATGAGACATTCTTCTTGTTGATAGCATTGCAGCCATTTAGAAGCCGTCAAAAAACCAAAGAAGATAAAGCGTGCTAGAATACGGATGACTTCAAAAATTCCCGCAGAAAACGCGATTTTGCGTTTTTTTCCGTTTTTTTTCTTTTGGAATTGAGCTTCTCGGAGGGTGAAGATACCGTTGAACTCATCTCGTTGAGATCTGTGAGATTGCTTTTGGTGAATTTTAGAAATGGTCCATCATCGATAGCGCTGCGCACTTCCGATTTCGTCTAGTACATTGTGTGATTGATTAGATATTTTTCCAGATTTCAGATTTTTATTATTTTAAAGCTTCGAATGACTAGAATTGTGGCTCCTGCGCTCGACATCCCCTTCTCTCGTGTTCAGTTAGAAATTTTAGATCAGTTTTCAGCAGCAGCGGTAAGTCCACTTCGCGAAATTGGTCTTCATGGGTTGAGGAAGTCGACTGGCCGTAAGCGATTGAATAAAAAAAAACGAAGCTCTGACTGGGAAATGTTATGGAGAATTAACCATTGTACATCTCAGGCTTGTAGGTTCCTCTAAAAAAGCAAAAAATTGACCTTATCACTGAGGCATGACGCGGAGAGATGCTGAGGGCTACACGACGAAAAATGTTCCTACACACAAGTAATCACAGTCCACGAAAGTGAAACCGCCTCTACCTTCTCGGGTATCGACGAAAATGTCCTCAACAATGGAAATCTCACGAAATAGGCCTTGTGGTCCTGCTTGATAATGACCTAAGATTGCAGGTTATACACGAGAAGGGAATGACAAGCGCAGGAAGAAGTTTATCCAACATCGCTTAGAAATGAAACACAGCTCCTGAAATTTGATTAAAAGAATAAGAAACCACTTCTTACTTGTAGATGTTAACGAGACAAACAAGTCCACATTCTCTTTAGAAACGAGCTTCAAAAGAGAATGTGGACTTGTTATCTCAGTTTTAAAACGAGCTCTATCAAAAAAAAACGGAAAAGAAACGCGAAATCGTGTTTTCTCGTGAATTTTTGAAAGTTTTGTGGCGAGTACCGTGTATATTGCTGCCTGAATTACCAAACCTGTGGTGGGTGCTTGAGTCGAAGGTAGAGGGTGTTATTGCTTGCATCGCTCATGTCAGCAGTTATCTGCAACTCAGAAATCATGATAAGGTTTTATTATAGTTACAAGTGAAGCACCTGAACTAAAGCAGCATACGGCAGACAGATTTTGTATGCAGCAAACCTGAGTCCGTCCATCTTTTCCTCTATAACATATCACTGTTCTGCTAGCAGTCGAATTAATGGGAACTGCAAACATTTTGGAGAACACACCACGTTCGCATAAGCGTACAGCGAAAAACAAAGTGAGAAATCTCCTGTCATGCTCAAAGTGGGCGTACGATAGGAACGGCTGCGCACCTGAATGAGACATTCTTGAAAACCGCCAACAGCAAGGAAAAATAATAAGAAATGAACTCCTGATGTTATAGACAAAATTACACTTTTTGAGAACATCAATCTCTCCCCAAGAGACGAGGGAAAAATTTTGCCTTCCACATCACACCTTGGTTTACATTTTCAAGTTTACCAAAAGAATATATACGGTACTCGCCATAAAAACTGCAAAATTCACGCAAAAAAACGCAATTTCGCGTTTTTTTTCGCATTTCTGCTATAATTCGGTGCGAAATTGAGCTTTTCAAAATCCGAAAACGACATTGAGTTCAGCTCGTTGAGTTCTATAGGACGCTGTCCCCAAGTTCTCTAGAGGCACCATCTTGGATTGCGCCATGCACTCAACTTTCACCTCAAAAAGTAGTTGCTTGCATGTGATGCGTATGTAATCCTGCCTATGCGAACTGACTGCTGCGCATAATGATTATTCTCAAAACTCGCCCAAGAATGCGCCACGTACTCAATCTAATCTACTACATTGTGAGATGAAATGAATGTTATTTTCCAAATTTCTGAACCTTTGTTTCGTTTTAAAGCGATAATTGACTGTAAGCGTTCTCTCTGCGCTCAATATAACATTCTCTCCATTTCAACTGAAAATCTTTGACCAGTTTCCAGCACGAATAGTACACCTATTATAATATCCCTGCCGAGGCTCTCAACCATAACTTGCAAAAATTGCAAAAATGGTTTCAGTACCAGCGTCAGGCCCACGTGACAGGCTGGCTGATGAGCACCCCAGTCACACCAAACATGTTTGGAAGTCGCAAAAGAGTCAGTGTTAATGCTAGGACGTCACCCGGAAGTGGCGCACAGAATCCCCGCCCGAGTTCTGTGGCAGTTTGCGAGGGCTACCGAGGAGTGAACGGCCTCGGCCAGGGAAGCTAGTTTGAATTGGGATTCTGAACGTAGGATCGCTAATTGGGAAGTCCTGAGAGGTTGCTGATCTGATGACGCGCAGGAATATCGAAGTCGATTGCCTTCAGGAGACGCGATGGAAAGGTGCTAAGGCTAGGGAAATCGGGGAAGGTGTCAAGCTCTACTACAATGGAGAAGACACCAAGCGGAATGGCGTGGCCATAGCGGTAGCGAAGTCGCTCAAGGACTATATCTCCGCTGTGAACAAGATCAGCGGTCGAATCATGGCAGTGAGGATAGACACGAAGGAGCGGTCCTGGCCATACACTCCGTGTACGCACAGCAAGCCGGGTGCCCCAAAAGTGATAAAGACGAATTCTATCTGAGCCTGGACGACGCCATCAGAATGATTTTAGAAGGTGACTACCTCACCATAGCAGGTGACCTTAATGGTCACGTCGGCAGTGATAGAAGAGGTCTGAAAGGGTACACAGCGGTAGAGGGATAGGAACGACGAACATTGAGGGAGGGTTCTGGACCTGGCTATAGCCCACGACCTGGCAGTCTGCAGCACGTTCTTCGCGAAAAAGGGAGTCTCAAAAGCTAACCTACAGCAGTGGAGGGTCACAGGCGGAAATTGACCATGTGATGGTAAGAAGATCTACCCTCAGGACTGTGAAGGATATCAAAGTTTTTTCCAGCGACGATCTGGCATTCCAGCACAGACCCCTCCTGGCAGACGTTGCAGTAGACCTCCCCAAGAAGACAAGTGAGAGGACCGAGAGGAGAATCCGGTGAAGGCGAAGGCACCAAGCGGAGAAGGGTGACCTCACGCGAAAGATAATGGAAGTCGGTCTCCCAGATTCTAACGGGCCAATACAGCGGACTTGGGACATCGCGGTTGGAACCATCCTGCGATGTGCGAAGGAGGTGCTGGGCGAGACGCGAGGTGGATGCAGAGGAGACAAGGCAGCGTTAGTTCTGGAACGAGGAGGTAAAGCGTGTCGTGAAACAGAAGAAGGAAGCATACAAGCGCTGGCAGAAGACCCGGAGCCTCAAAGACTTCGCTACCTACAAAAGTTGCAAGAGGCTCGCCAACAGGGTCAACCGTCCGTTGCGCAAAGAACAACGGGGGGGAGGGGTTCGTATTTGCCAATGGAAGAGAAGAGGGTCGTAACCCCAAGTACAGTCCAGTTTTGAAGGTGCCAAAACATGGCTAAGTGGCAAAGGAGGACGGACTTTTAACTGCCACTGCCACTTCGCACCACAGACGATTGAATGACGCATAATAGAGCGGAATTCCTAACTAAAATACGTCATGTTCCAGTTAGCACAGACGAGAAACCCTTACAGAGAAACTGGAATGTTTTAAAGCAAATCAAAGTGGAGGAAAGAGCAGCGATATTGGTTGATTGACCTCTGAAGAAATATAATAAACCTATGGCAGGAGAAAAGTTTTCCTTTCAAGATATTCTAGTATCCTGTATATTACTGATCTTTCTGACTTCAGTGGTCTTATCGCTTCTCATTGTATCGACTTTGAAAAAACTTATGTCCATTTGAAGGTTGAAAAGTCGCGTTCAAAAAGAATGGCCTAAAAAGCACCCAAGAAAAAAGGAACAACGGGACGATTTTTCGAAAGAATGGTCATTCAGAAAAATCTTGGCATTTTTCCAGAAGGGTCAATCTATTGGTTTTTAATTAGCTTTGAAAATGTGCAAGTTAATGATAAAGGAAGTTATGAAGGTTTGAATACCGAAAACTCACGCGTTCTCAGAAGCGGATCACAAATCCCTGAAAAAAGGAAACAACGAGGCTTTTGGAGAGAGTGATCTTTGAAAAAAAAATCTGCTACCTATTGAAAGCGCTAATCTTCTACTTACTAACTAGTTTTGGAAATCTGCAAAAAGTTGGTAATGAACGAACGTTTCAATGATGAAAACTCGCGTATGCACAAAAAACGGACCAACGGGACTATTCTTTGAGGAATCGAACATTTGCATAAATTTAAAAACTTTTTGGAAAAGAAACAAGTTGAAGTTTTTAAATTTTTGTGTCCCATCACAAGAGACTGCTTTTGAAGAAAGAAATAACCTTCTGAATGAAGAGGTTCGTATCGCACGTAATCGCTGCAGGGTTTATTTATACAGCTTCTAAAAAAAGGGATTCGCAAGCTCGAAAAAAAAACTTGGTTGGTTTCTGAAAGTAGAAATCTCTGCTATTGCTATGCTATGCCTGGATTTACGCAAAAATTTGGAAATTGCTTCTATTTAATGAGTAAAAATTCATGTTGCCTTGAGCCCCGTCCTCTGAGCTAGACAAAGCACGCGGACTTACCACTGTACGCCACCTCTTCATGTAGGTGACCGCCCATACATCGATGATGGGCCTGGGGGCTAGGTAAAAAGCTACTAGCTTCTACTGGCTTCCATAGGATGACACCATCGCTGCCTTTTACACTCTTCACCACCTGATGTCTTGAGTAGCACGGCGCCAGCCTGAAGACGAACTTCTCTGCGTTTCTGCTTTCCAACTTCTCGTACTAGGTGTCCATCTCTGTGTTCTTAGCTTTGGCGACAGCAGCCTTGGCGAGCAGGGTCAGCCGTGCGTTGAGCAGATCTTAAAGTTTTTACGACCCCCACCCTTTTGAAGGGTATCAGGACGACCTCCTGTACTCGCTATTGCGTCTTTTTACATAGCCCCCAGGTCCATCATCGGTGTATGGGCCGTCACTGACATGGAGAGGTGGTGGACAGTGGTAAGTCCGCGTGCTTTGTCTAGCTCAGAGGACGGGAATCGAGGCAACATAAATTTTTATTCATTTAATAGAAGCGATTTTTAAATTTCCGCGTAAACCCAGGCATGGCATAGTAATAGCAGAGACTTCTACTTCCAGGACGAAACAAGGTTTTTTACGAGCGTCCAAATCCCTTTTTTTCAGAAGCTGTATAAATAAACCCTGCAGCGATTACGTGCGATACGAATTTTCATATGCGATACGAATTTTCATTCAGAAGGTTATTTCTTTCTTCAAAAGCAGTCTCTTTAGATGGGACATAAAAATTTAAAATCTTCAACTTGCTTCTTTTCCAAAAAGTTTTCCAATTTATGCAAATGTTCGATTCTTCAAAGAATCGTGCCGTTGTTCCGTTTTTTGTGCATACGCGAGTTTTCATCATTCAAATGATCGTTTATTACCAACTTTTTGCAGACTTCCAAAGCTAGTTAGAAACTAGAAGATTAGCGCTTTCAATAGGTAGCGGACTTTTTTCAAAGATCACTTTCTCCAAAATAGCCTTGTTGCTCACTTTTTTCAGGGGTTTGTGGTCCGCTTTTGAGAACGCGAGTTTTTGGTATTCAAACCTTCATAACTTCAAACATGCAATCGCGCATTGTTGTGCCGATCAAATTTGAATAATTTGAATACGTGAAATAAAACCTTAGAAAATCAGACTTATTCACTTTGCAAGAAAATGTCCCCAGTATTAAAAAAACCTATGCAATTTTGGGGAAAGTGTTTTTGCAAGAAGAACAACCCTTTACTCACCTAAGGAGCACAGTGTGGTCGGATTGGGACTAATTTGATTTTACACGGCATACACACAGGAACGGCGAGAACGTTCTTAACAACCCAATACACCGTGCCCCAAAAGCAAATTCGGACCACTCCCATTTTCAATCCCACACTAGGCCTGAAGGCAGCGGAAGCGAAGATTACGATGCATTTGGCGTAGCATACAAACGCATGTGAAGTAATGGTTCAAAGTTTCTGAGCGATGGCGAAAGTCCCGAAGAAAATGGTCCTGGTCGAAAATGGTTGGGGTGGTCATGTG